TATTTAATTTTTGAAATAATTTGAGATTTATTAGATATAACTACAATCAGACCTCTATATAATCACTAAGTTGGTTACGCCCTAATATGATGATTGTATAGAGATGACATCAGTAAATTTTTTAGGATGATAAGTATCAATTATAACCTAAAGATATTAATCGATTAGTAACACTACCATTGTAAGAAATTAATATAGATTAGAAATTGATAATAATCATATATATGATAAAAATCAATATAGATAAATATCAATAGTTATTGTTTATATGATAAATATCAATAAAAATTAATATAGATAAAAATCGGTAGTTATCATTTGTGATAAAAATCAATCAAATAAAAATCAATAATTATTATTTATGATAAGAATCGATTTAGATAAAAATTGATAGTAATCATTTATTAGAAAATTTTTTAAGCTGATAGGTTATGATTACCAACAATTAATCAATTATTATCAATTAAATTTAATCGATAAGAACTGATAGAGTGATTGTAATCATCAGATATCCTTATTAATTTTAATTGATAATGTTACTAATCATTAATTTACTATAAACAATTATTATTGATTAATTTTTTATTGATAATTATCGATAAAAAATTAATCGATAATAATCATTTATAATGATTAGTAACATTATCAATTAAAATCGATAAGGATATCTGATGATTACAATCACCACTATCAGTTCTTATCGATTAAATTTAATTGATAATAATCAATTAATTGTTAGTAATCATAATCTATCAGCTTAAAAAATTTCCTGATGGAAACTATATACAAATATCAGATTAATATCATATGTCTTTAGCCAATCAATAATTAATTGGTAATTCATTAGTCATGATTGTTCTATATCTAAAAGTTTTTTTTTGTACTAAGTTAACCACCTTTGAGTCTCTTAGTAAAGTTATAGAGCTTATTAAGATGAATTTAACAGTAGTTAAATCATCAAATCAGCCTAGTGGATGCTGAGATATCTTCAAAAAATGGTCCATTGATTATATAAATTCTTTGTAAAACAATATAAAGAATTTTCTATAGTCAGTAAAATGTTTTTTGAAGATATCTTAGCATTCACTAAATTGATTTTAATGATTTAACCACCATTAGATTTGTCTTAATGAGCTTTACAACTTTACTTAGAGACTCAAAAGTAGTTAACTTAGTAAAAAAAACTTTTCAATTAATAAATTAGTGATTATGAAGCATTTTTTATTAATAAATTTGATTTAAAAATTAAATTTTAAGATGATAGTGATTATAAGTAATTTGTAATTATATACTATGCTTTAAGTTTGTTATACAAAATTAAGTATTTAAATAGAGATGTAATTATATGGGGTGTGACTAGTATTGGAAATTCAAAAAAATTTTTATGTTTACAAATATGATTTTCTATATTTACAATAGAAAAAACTTTGGTTTTTTAAAAAATATATATTTATGTAAATACTGTAAATATACAATTTTCAATGCGAGTGTGACTATAGGGGTCTAACTATATATTTTATTCTTTTTTATTCTTAACAAAAATATTCTCATTTTATTATTGTAGTATTAACACATTCAATATTATTAAAATTTTATTTAAATACTTGTTTATAGAGCTATCTTAGTGAGACCATGAAGATTATTACAGATATACCAATAAGAATTGATATTTACATAATAATCATTTCTGATCTAGCTCTGGAAATCAGTATTTTTTAACATTCTTATATATAAAATACCAAATTTTAAGGAAGATTTCTCTATAACAACTTAAAAAATTTGCTAACAATTTTTTTTATTTAATTTTACATATATGCAGAATTAAAATAAAAAAAATTTTGTCAAATTTGGTTAATTAGTTATCTTCGCTTAAAGTGTTACAAAAAATTACTACAACTTTAAATTTTATATTTAAAATTTTTTATTTTATTACTGTTTATAGCTATTTATTAAGTTTTATATATTATTTATTAATTTATTATATTAATTTTATTATCAACTATATTATATAATTAATATTGATCTTTTAATATTAACTTTAACATTGACTTAACATTGACTTCAATATTAATCTTAACATTGAAGCTAATATTGTTTTTAATATTGCAACCAATATTGATCTCAATATTGAAGCCAATGTTAATTTCAATATTGAAGCCAATATTGATCTCAATATTGAAGCCAACATTGACCCAATGTTGAAGTTAATATTAACCTTAATATTGAAACCAATATTGACCCAATGGTGAAGCCAACATTAACAATGTTGAAGCCAATATTGACCTAATATTGAAGCTAATATTAAAGCCAATGTTGACTCAATATTAAAGCCAATGTTGAAGCTAATATTAAAGCCAATATTATTTAGAAAAAAAAATAAAAGTTTAGAACAATAATAAAAGATGCTTTAAAAAACTATCAAAAAAAGTATCAAAAAAATGATAAGAAAACTCTAAAAAGCAATAAAAATATTTCAAAAAAAGAAATGAAAATGTTTTAAAAAAATAATGAAAAAGCTTTAAAAAAATGAAAAAGCTCAAAAAGAATAATGAAAAAGTTCAAAAAAACCTTCCAATAAAAAGCTTCCAAAAAGTTTCTAAATAATGATAAAAAGATTCTAAAAAAAGTTTTTAAAAAATGACAAAAGAAACATTCAACAAATGATAAAAAAAACTTTGGAAAAACAAAACAGAGGTTTCAATATTGAACTCAATATTAACACAATATTGAAACCAGTATTGATACAACATTAAAGCCAATATTGATACTAATGTTAAAGTTAACATTGATCTCAATGTTGAATTCAATAGTGAAAACAGCATTGATCTTAACATTAATCAAAAAATAAATAAAGGCACAAAATAATAATAAAAATTACCTCAAAAAACTAATAAAAAAACTTCAAAAGAATGACAAGAAATATTTCAAAAAACTAATGAAAAAAGCTCTAAAAAAACAACTAGAAAACTCTAAGAGAATAATGAAAAAACTTTAAAAAAATGAAAGATAAAAAAGCTCTAAAAAAAACAAAAAAAGCTTATAAAAATAGATAATATATATAAAATATTTCATACTGTAGATTATTGGCCAATCAGATTATGATACATATGAACTACATTTAAATTACTTAATTAAATCATATTTTTGATAATATCTTAGCTTTCTATAATTGGATTTGGATGATCTCACTATGTTTAAATTCATCTCGATAAAATGATTCAAATGATAGTAATTTTATCTTGATTGAACTAGTAGTTGTAGAGTTATAATTCAAAATGGCCTTTATTTTAATATTAATACTGTGAACCTTAAACAAGAGAATTAAGTATGAATCACCTATAAACCAAAGTGTAGATATAAGTAATTTTTTCTAGAATATTTTAACCAGAACCAGAACTAGACAATCTTTAATTAAATATTATAACAAAAAATTGCTCAAAGCATTATATATATTAAACATATGAGATATATTTAGAATAAATAAAAAACTATAAAGAAGAATATCAAGATACTAGTTATTTTTATAATACCTTCCAAGTACTTGTACCAGATAATTTATATCAATATTGCTTCTCTAGCTATAACTATCATTGCTTTTTCTATACTTTATAGACTTGGTATTAACTAAGGTAGATCAGTCATGTCAGAAAATTTTCTCAATCACGTGATCAACAATCCTTTCCGACCCGTGATGAGACCCCGGATCTCTTAATAATAAATAATTTTTTTGAACTAAAAAATTTTTTTTATATTTTATTTAAATAAATCTACAAGAAAGACTTTGACTGAACCCAGTTACTTTCTTATGTCAAAAAGTTACTTGGTTTAAATATACTGTTATTGTTGCACGAGTAGCCTGTGCTTTTTTCTCTCATTTACAGCATATAACACTTTCATATTTATCAAATATGAAGTAGTTATTTAATTTTTATTAAATTTGTCTTCACATTTTTAAAATTTGCCGTCGTAACATTAAGTCTTTACTTTTTTCAATTGTTATTAGACGTAGTCGACATCAGTTTTTTTTTTTCTTTAAAATTGTCTTGTATTGATCATAATTAGTCTTTCTTAGGCGTTTTTAGGTTTTCGTTTCATAAATTCTTATTAAACTGAATTGCACATTTTTAAGTTTTACATTTTTAAAATCCTTATCGCTGTCTTTAAAATTCTTACTAGACAGAATTACATATTATTAGATTTTACTTTAAAATTCTTGTTGAACGAAGTTGCTCATAATTAAGTTTTTACTTTCTTTAAATTTTTGTTAGGTTAAGTCTTATATCATTAAATTTTTTGGATAAAGTTATATATAATTAGATTTTTATTTAATTAGATTATTTCTTCGCTTTTTAAAAAAATTAATTAAAATTTTTATAGCAATGTTAAAATTATCCTTTTATTAATGCAATAAGATAGTTATTATATGGGATTATATAAAATAACTAAATTTGCATGGGTCAACCTGTTTCACATGGCCTTTGGCCATGTGGAACTAGTTAACCTGTGCAAATCTAGTTATTTACAACCCATACAATAATTATAACATATTTGTCCAGAATCGCTTACAGTATTTTAATTACTTAGATTAATAAATACACTTATTTTGTATTCCTAATCAGTGTGGATAGAATGAAATAAATTAGTAAATCATCATGAACTTTATTTTTATTTTATTTTAAATAATAAATGCACTTTAGACTTATCTCTTAAGTTATTGCAAATATGTAATAAATGTTCGCGAACTTGAATTGCTTATTTTAGATACGTGGAATGATAAATAATTTTGATTCCTAATCAGTGCAGATAGAATGAAATAAAATAGTAAATCGTCACGAACTTGAGTTTTTATTTTAAATAATAAATGTACTTTATACTTATCTTTTTGTTATTGCTAAATATTCATGAACTTAAATTTGTTTATTTTTACAAAGAAATTTTAATATGTTAATAGCAGCATGTACAGCACCTTATCATAGTTGGACTAATCCAGCTGAAGAATAATGTTAATTTTAAATCTTTCATTACAAAATGTTTCTTTACAACGAGATTCTATGAGTAATTTATCTGAAGAAACTTTTGCATCACTTAAAACTTTAGAAGAGATTCGCAATGAAGCTGAAAATTTATCTAGTTTAAAAAATGAGTTACAAAATTCAATATCAAATATTCAAACACTTTTAAATATTCGAACAGAATATTTAAAGCTTCATGATAATACTTTTATAACTAGAAGTCCTGCTACAAATTCTGATATTG